AAAGCCTTTTAGTTCTATAATTAGCAAAATCTCATATATATGATTCCAGAAATGATTAATCCTTTTGTTTGAAGGTAAATGTACCTACATGATTTTGTTATTATGTTCAACCCAGGAATCCTATTACTATTTTGTGACAAGAATTATATCTTGATTGTCTTTAATTACAGGTTTATTGTACAATATGATATCATGATATTTTATTTTATTTCAAGTAGTTTTTGCTTTAATTAATCTTAATCTCTTTGATGGAATATTAGACTTTTAGTAGAAACTTATTTTATGATGCATCTATCATGGCATATATCGTGAGAAGTTTCTTTCCAGATGTCTTTTGCATCATATATTGGTTCTAGCATGAGAAATATAAGGGTTTTTGCATACTATTTTTTTGTGTAAAATATTTGACAAAAGTCACACCACTTGACTCCAGAAAGTGGACTAAAGTAACAAGAACTTTCTGGCACCAATCACGCCTACATTATTTGTTGAAGCCATCCAAACATTAGCAGTCAACATGGAGCAATCTGCTTCGACATTCGGAAGGATCAGTGGAGCCCTGCCTTCACGTCGAAGATTGCGTTGCTTTCTCCGCAAGCTCTACTGTCAGCACCTGAGCCGGACGATCCCAAAGATGCAGTTGTCGCACAGCAGGTCAAAGAGCACACCTGTGTGTGTATGAAGACTGTTGCGTTCTTTTATGTTATCACTTCTATTGATGTCATTCTTCTGCATCGAACAGTACCTGCGTGACCACCCAGCCAATACGATAGGAGAACAACTGTTGGCATCGAAAAAAAGGTACAAACAGTAGATGAGCAACTGTTCAGTTTTAAGAACACAGGTGATTGGAATCTGATACCTGCTTTCTACAATGGAATCAGGATTTAGCGAGAAGCACGCCGGGGAGCAGCGTCAAAGGCGACGAGAACCAGGCTCTCGAAAAGCTATGCTCCTACTAAAACTCGCGTCTGTACGGTGAGACACTCCACCATCATTCGTTCTCTAAACTTTTCTGCCCATAGCAGCCTGTTTCGACTATTAAGTGTGCATTTTTTTTCTTTCACAGGTCAATCATTCTAAATAATTGTTTCAACACCTAATGTGGTCAAAGTAGTTGAGATTATCTAATAATTGTTTGACCCACTACTACTGCTCGGAAGCTACGTCTGCACATTTCACATCTTTCGCAGCCTTATCCATCTAGATATAGTACATGAAGCAGGGCTGTCGATAATGATCTTATGGTTTAGGAATCAAAAATTAGATCGGAGAGAGCATGGTGGGCGCTGGCATGCAGTGGTTGATGGCTGATGTGATTGCCGTCCACCATGGATTTCTTGATGAGCCAGCCTCGTGGAACAACGCAACAAGGACGCTCTTATCTATTTGGCGGGGAGTAGCATCAAAAAGGCACCCACACGGTGCCTCGAGCTAATCTCGTCTACTTCATCAGCCAACTGCAATAATGTGATCCTTAATGTCTTAGAAAGTAAACGTCAGGTGGCCTGCAGCAGTACAACCCATGAGGCATGACGCTTGATGTTGGGTGGTACGAATGTCAGAAAGTGTTCTCTAGTCTCTCTTAGCTCACTCTTACCTATTAATTGTCGATTGACGGGTGCAAGAAAAAATAAACTATTTGTGAACAGAGAACATATCGAAGAGTGCCTCTCGGTTCACGATTTCAACCTTGCTTTTGTTTCTCGTGTCAAAGAACAGTAGAGAGAGGCGTGTTATTATAATTTTTCATGGGTTCTCATATCGGGCTTCTTTTCTTATAATTATTAGAGAGTTTCTCTTAATAAATTAACCTCCTTGTTTCTATTTTAAATCCACTATAACGATGTTTTTGATCGGATTTGGATAACAAGTAGGTTTCTGAAGTCAAGTTTGAATTCCTACTGTACAATAAATTGTCAAATTGAATTTGGGGTTGAAATGAAATCAGACTCCTCTCACCGTGTCGAAGGGAGCATCAACACCGATCACAGGACGATAGCAGCATCCTTCATTAGATGGGACGTTTCCACTGACAAGTGAACTGCCTCGGGAAGAAGACAAGGAAGGAATTGGGTTCTCCGGTCCTGCCTACCAAACTAGGAAAATTGAGGCCATGACTTTGGAACCCAAACACTTTACTCAGTTACAACTCAGTACAGTAATTCAATTTAGTTACATAAACTTAGTGTGAGAGTGTTTTTTTTTCATACAAATTTTCATCTATTATTAATGAGTTTGTATTATTAAATAAACTTATTATTAGGGGAAGGGTTTGTATTAATGAGTCAAATATTTATGAGCTATGCAATTTTCATCTATTATTAATCTAAATATTGGACAATCATAAATTAAGTAATTTGGTTGGAGTTTTCTTGTTCTTATTTACGCAATCCACATGTATATATATATATATATATAAAACCTCCAGAATAAATTATTTTCTTATCTATTCCTCTGTATTGAAGTTTGGAATATATCTCTTTATAATACCATTGATAACATTTTAGATATTTTACATATATTTTTAACTCAAACTAGTTAATTTAGGATATAAAGATTATAAGAAATAGAAGAATATATATGATAAATAATAAATACAAATTGACTCAAACAAGTATGTTATTTTCGAAGGTGTTAACTAGCTTAGTTGATAAAGATTTTAATAATATATCATAAGGTCTTGGATTTAATTCCTGTTTTCATCATTTATTCATTAAAATAAATATATGTTATTTTCAAACTTAACAACTGTAGATTTGGAAACTTCCCATCTCTTCTATTTAAATAGAGTCAATGGAAGAGTTGGTGAATACCAATGTGAAATGTCGTAACCCATAACCTTTGTAAGAACATTTTACCACATCATTATATGTAGTATTCTTCTTTTGTGGAGATTACTCTGTTGAGAAAATCCCTCTATTCTGTTGAGGAAAATTCTCTCTCCTAATATGTATAAATAGGAGAGGAACATGTTCAAATTATTTCAACAAAGTTTATTCACTTTTTCTTCAATAAAATTTCTACAATAATTGTTCTTATTTTCTATTATTTTTCTCAATATGTCCTCTTGACGTAAAGTTTGATCACTTCAAATCATATCTTATCTCAAAACAAAACCAAAAAAATGCAAATTAATGAGAATTTGATTCATGTTCAATAGGAGATACAAGCATTAGAACAACACCCGGTGTAACTCTAGTTGCTTTCGTTCAACCCAACCCAAATTGACTAGCTTTTTGTTTGTGTGCTAAATGTTCAACACACCAATTTCTTAAGCTAGTCAACTTAAAGCATGTGGATGGCAAAGAAAGATGATGGCATTCATTCAAAGGATAGCGCTTTTGTTGGACCTTTTCTTCTTGGTGATTGATTCTAAAGGGCTTCAAATGATAAGACCGAAAAAAAAGAAAAAGAAAACCTTCTAACCTCCAAAGAAAGTGCTTCTAGAAGAAGTTTACAACTTGGTCTCCACACAAAACAGTGGAAAATAGATATTTATAATATTTTATATACTTGCCAGGTATGAAACAACATATTTATCATTATAATATTTTTAATGTGCAGAGGATATATATATATATATATCCCCATACTTCAAGACACTATAATCATTAAATTCTGCCAACAAAGGACACTTTCGTTAATATTAATTTATTTAAAGTATATATATATAATATTTAACAAGATTTTTAATTTTAAATATTAGTATTGTACTAATCATATTGGTGTTTCATGAATACATTAAAGCGTGTCAATTTTAAAAATAAAAAAAATATTAGATATAAAATATGTACCATCTTATATTTGATATACACGGATACATTTTACTCTTTCTTTTGTTCCCACCTATTTATATGTTATATTTTAAAAAGTGAACGTCTTTCTACGTAGTAGGATCGAGAGAAAGAACGAGGAAGACGATTTCATTATATTTCTAATCGAAAATAGAATCTATCATAATAAATTTTTTTTATTGAAACGATAATTATGAAAAGATAAATTTCTTATCTTTTCTTTCAACTCAGAAAAAATACGATCTAAGGGACTAATTCGAACCCATTGGGTAAAATGAGAATAGCCCTCATATTCAAAGTTTCATTTTTACCATTAGTAAAAACTTATTTTAAAATGAGAAGGGATTGGAACATGATATATATATATATATATATATATATATATATATATATATAATCAACTAGGAAGAAATACGAACATCACTCAGTTGCAGTATTTTGTCCGTTGCGTTGTTGACATTGCACCATTAAAATGAGTGGGTTTGCATGACGTATTCGGACGTCTGGTCAAAATATGGTGGTTGGGCCGAGACAAATCGCAATCAGCGCATTGCGTGCCAGCTATGTCCGCGTTGACTTTACCAAGTGCGTTTGAATCTTAACATGCCATCAGCATGCAAACCGAATCATAACACATTGATTGTAGGGAAAACAGAAAGAAATTAATCGTCCCAGGAAGAACAATAATTCATTTGTATTTTCTTACTAATAATAACTATTTTATTTTATTTTTGAGGCCGTCTGACTACCAAACATAACAGCAATGTCGTAAATCAAATAAATTCTTAGCAAGTTTCGATGCGACTTATGTTGGATATATAAGTCATACACGATTGACCTCACGATGAACGTTCCAACATATTTTCCCAATTAAGTCTGTCAGTATCCTAAGATGATTTTTGTTTTTGTTTTTGGGGCAAGTAATCGATTAATTTTCATAGTCTTTATTATTTCCTAATGATGCCACCGCGCCAAAGCACCTCCCGCCACACGTGTGAAATCGGAGAAACGACCTCTTCCGGTTTGGTCAGTGGACTGCTGCCTTCTCTGCGTGGACTTTCGTCTCTCGATTCTATCCCTCATTCAGTAGGAAATCACCGTAAATGCCCTTTCCCCACGCTATCGTGCATTATACCATGGTGTTATGATCGTAATTAGATCTGAAATTGAGTCCTATTTGTGTTCCCTGCGACTCCCGTTTAATAGACGAGATGCGTATCTGAAACTACCGCTTCGCTTTCCCGCTTCCATTCACAGGAGCCCCGGCGGTGACCGGAACCCAGCCCCCACCCTTCCAGCTTCGAACGAGCCCCTCTGCGGCTGCGCTACCGTCACCTCCCGCCCGCATGAGGGCCCAGTGACCACCATGGGATGCATCTTCGGCAAGTTCACCTCTGGAGTCGGCCTCTTCCCCGTCGTTGCTCCCCACATCACCGCCGCCTCCACGTCCAGGCCCCCCGCGGCCTCGGCCTCGGCCGCTGGACACCGGCACCCCATCCGCGCCCCTCCTCCTCTGGAGCCTGAGCCCCCCCGCCGCCCTTTCTTCATCCCGAACTCAGCTGCCGACCCCCCCGCGTGGCCGACCTGGCTCTCTGACGCCGCAGGCGATGTCCTCGCCGGCTTCTCGCCCCGTCGCGCCAATTCGTTCGCGATGCTCGAGAAGGTCAGCGCTTCTGATACTATCCCTTGGGGAAAAAAATTTGCTTCTTTCGAGTTGTTGACCAGAAATCCGATTCTGTGGCGGTTGATTTGGGTTGCTAGATTGGGTCGGGGACGTACAGCAATGTGTACAAGGCGAGGGACCCGGTTGGGGGGCGGTTGGTGGCGATGAAGAAGGTGCGGGTGGAGGACGTGAAGGCGGTGGACAGCGTGCTGTTCATGGTGCGGGAGATCGCCCTGTTCCGCCGTCTCGACCACCCCAACATCATCCGCCTCGAGGACCTGGCGGTGTCCCGTATCCCCACCACCCCCTCTCTCTACCTGGTCTTCGACTACATGGAGCACGACCTCGCCGGCCTCACTGCGCTCCCTGGCGTCCGGTTCACTGTGCCCCAGGTGTGTTGTCGTTGATCCGATCAATCCAAATCCCCAAACCCCCTCTCGTGTAATTTCCTTAACAATGTTAATCTCGACATAAAAAAGTGAACTTTAGGGTTTTGGGGGTGCCTATTGCTATTCTTCGTGAGCTTACATTAGAAAGATAGACATTTTCGTCCCTTTTCCTTTCTCATCATTTGCACCTCTTTTCTGTTTGATGAGAATTCGGAATTCTTATACTTTGAGTGGGAATTTGAAACAACGATCCAGCTGTCCTACAAGGATTAAGCTTTGTAAATTATGTTCATGATGAGCAAGTTCCTGATATGATCAGAATGATGGCATTCGATATATCCGAAGAGAATTAACAGAATAAGTTATTTGATGAAAAAAGAGGGAGGAGGTCCAGAATCTTGTAGCCTTTTGGTGGTTTTTTTTTTTGTTTTGAGTTATATTTTCATTATTTTGTTTGAATTCATCATCAATTTATGAGATCATACATGCTATGTGTTGTTATACACAATGTGATAACTCTTTGTCCCTAACAGTCTTGTGTTCCCATGGGCAATTGGTCTGACTGGGACCGGTTTTACTTCCAGGAAACTAGTGTCAATAGGTTAGGCAAGTCATGTTTACTTGATATTGTATGTATTTTGGTCTTAATCATGATGGTCCCAAGTGCAGCTTTGTTGACTTGATTTTGCTTCCTTTGGTGCCAACAGTTCCAGAAGCATGACCATTTCAAATGGGCAACATAACATGGTTTCACCTGCTGAGATCACCATTTGACTTCAACATATGGGCCTTTCTTTTTCTAGGGTCAGGCTTCGCCTCGTGCCTCTGGTTTCATTATGTCAAGAGACCAAATAGCACCAAGTTTAACAAGGAGGTTTCCCATAATCATTTCTTAATAGATACACAGATGGCATTCTCCGGTAGACAAGTGACTATGACAGACATAAATTTATGCTTCGTTTTTCTAAAATATAATAACAATGTAGCCGTCCTATATTGACCCTGAAAAGCTGATCCATTTAATGAACAACTTCACTGAATTTTGTGAGAGGTACATAGAGTTGAGGAGATTATAATCCATTAATTGGTGATTGATTGCTCTTTCAATGGAGTATTCATAAAGAGGATTTTCGCCCGAAACCAAAGTTTTATAGTTTCATTTTTTTTAATTTTATTCATTAAATTCTTTGTTACAGCTTCTTTTTTTCTTTGTTTGTCTTAATGGCAGGTGAAATGCTATATGAAGCAATTACTCTCTGGTCTTGAGCATTGTCATAGCCAGGGTGTCTTACACCGTGATATAAAGTGTTCAAATTTGCTACTTAACAAAGAAGGAATCCTTAAGATAGCTGATTTCGGGCTGGCTACTTTTTTTGATCCGAACAACACAAAGCCCATGACAAGTAAGGTTGTGACCCTGTGGTACCGTCCTCCGGAGCTCTTACTCGGTGCAACTCGGTACGGCGTTGGTGTTGACCTATGGAGTGCTGGTTGCATTTTGGCAGAGCTTCTCACTGGGAAGCCAATACTTCCTGGACAGACTGAGGTAATCCATTATCCCAATAATAATTATCATTGTTAGAGAACTCATTAGCAAGGAACTATCATCATACATTTTCTGCACTAAAGCTGAACTATAGAGACTGGCACTAGAATGTGTTTAGATAGAGCTATTTGCTCTTCTGCATATTGTACTTGGTCATTGATAATAATAGTTTATTTCTTTGGACTTAATGTCCATCTGGTTCGCGGTCCGTTTTACCCTTGTTGATGCTAATGTAGGTGGAGCAGTTGCATCGAATCTTTAAGTTATGCGGATCTCCATCAGAAGAATACTTTGAGAAACTAAAATTACAGAAGACGACTTCGTTTGGATCATACAAGTGTTCTATATCAGAAACATTTTCAGATCTTCCACCTTCCTCGGTGTCTCTCATTGAGAAACTTCTTGCGCTTGACCCACTTGAAAGGGGGTCAGCTACTTCTGCCCTGAACAGTGAGGTTAGTATCTATATTTTCATGGCTTTTAATGTGTCTATTTTCTCTAGCATAAGAATATCACTAGATGCATAAAATGTGTAGTTTATTAAAAATAATTAGGGTTATGTGGTGCATTGTTTAGGAATAATAAAAACCTAGAATTATTCGGAGTTCTATCACTAGTATGACAAACATATAGGAAGGCTTGCTGAAACATCGAAAGCTACTTCCTTTGTATGACTAGTCAGGAATAACTTCTTTTACAAGCAAAACAATTTGCAACACAAGTAAACCAACTAAGAAATTAGTTTTGGTCTAAAGGCCTTGAACTCATTCCATATGGCACTTGAAAAGCCTTGAATTTAATCTATATGTGACGCTTGACAAGCCTTGAACTCAATCTATATGTGGCACTTGAAGAGCCTTGAACTCAAATCTATATGTCACTTGAACTGTAAACCCAAATTATATTATTATTATTTAACTAGTGTACTAGTTTATGATAATTGTTGTATCTAGAAATTAGTCATTTTTATCCAAGAATAAGGATAATAAATTTGATGGCCTTGCACCATTTTTTAGGGCATTATTAGGGCACAGTTGCTTTGGTAAAAGAAAAAGAATCTCATTGCTACATGTTCCTTTGTAATTACTGTGTAGTCTCTGCTTGCAGTTCTTCAACATAGAGCCCTATGCATGCGATCCATCTGAGTTACCGCAGTACCCTCCAACCAAAGAAATTGACAGAAAATTGAGGGAAAACAGAGATAGAAGGTGAGCACTATGTTCTTGATGATTTATACCAATCAACACGTTCTGTCCAAGAACTTATGTATGTAAGCTTTGTTTATGAACAGGAAACAAAGAACTAATGCAAAAGAAAACGGTGAAGCCACTAATAGAATCCGATTGCGTAATCGAAGTTACAGAGGACCAGCAGCTCCATCAACCAGTAGCAAAGTGCAAGCAGAACTTGATGTGAGTATTATGCATTTTTACAATCTGTTTTATAAAGTTGCATGTCAAATATGAAGATCTTTATGCCTACGATACCAATCTGAGGAAGCATGATGATTTTTCTTAATTTATTTGCACAAATTATTCATGTTGAGTTTTGAATCCTATTATGTTAACAGTTCTTCTAAGGACCCTCTTGTGCTATTACTTCATTAAAGAATCTTCATGTTTGTTATTGGGAATTTCATGATTGTTTATCAACATTGAGGCTCAACTCTCAAGTATTAGTAGGCTATCTAGAAAAGATGCAATTAAATAGGTGATTCAGGCATCAGATATGATATGTTTATGATTTCTTGGATTGATTTTGGGGAGCCCAATCGACATGGTTAAAACGGGTACAATAAGATGGTATCATACTATGATGTGGTATCATACTCACAGAGTTAGGAATCAGTATAATAAAATGGCTATGGGCTCATTAGAGAAGCATTAGCATTATCTAATGTTGTTACTCAACATGATTGGTATAGGAGCATATGCAAGTGCAACAAAATTCTGAGCACACCATGAAACTAGAGGAGAGTGGAAACAGATAACATAATTCTAACTTGTAGAACATGGACTAAAATTATCACCAGAATAATTTAAGCCCACAAAAGGATTTGGATTGTTATTGTTTTGCATTAATGCCTACAGCATAAATCTCATGTTTAAGTCTAAACAGATCAAGGCCTCAGAGATTAGAAAGGTTAGCAGAAACACTTGTGCTAATCATGTTTTGCCTTTTAGTCTTATCAGTGTTCCATCCCTTTGTTTTCCCATCTACAGCGACGGAGATTGATGACTAGTGCTAGCGTTGCAAGAGCCGAGAGGTTCCCACCACCACATCTTGATGCAGCAATTGGATTCTCACTTGATTCATCCCATGCTGATAGAGAATTTACCACAGTGGATGACTTATTCATGTCATCAAATGCTGTGCCACAGAGAGCAGCAGATGTAACAAGGGAAGATGGAGGTAGAAGAGACCATAACACGGTTCATGCTGGTGTTATCGGTGCAATCAGGCCATACCTGATGGGGAATCTGACAGATCTCGGAAGGAACAGTAGAGCACACCAGAGCAGAAGGGAATCAGCTGTTGCTGCTGTGGCGAACTGATGTGGTTGTGTAGCTGAGAAGTCCATCTCATCTTGCCGGGCAGAGTCTGCAGTTCTCGTTCTATTGTCAACTTTAACAAAATGAGGTAGCCCTTCATGGTTTTCCACTCGATGTCTAGCAACATATTAACTTCTAGAAATTGTACTGACAGAGCTAAGGACATGTACAGCCTTCTGTATTTGTTTTTGTTAACTTTCTTCTTTTTTTTTCAGAAAAATAGAAACTTTGTTGCTCCTAAAGATAAATGTTTTCTCATTGTATTCATGGATCGCATTTGCAATAAAAAGAGTTTTCATGGTTTCAATTAAATCTGATTGTTTTCATGGTTTTCTCAAATAGATTCCTGATTATTATCTCGAGGAAGCCTTTATTCTCTGAAGTGTCCGTTTAAAATTGTTTTTTTTTTTTTGGGACAAGATGGGTTTTAATTTTTTCTGTTAAGCTTCATGCTGATAAACATGACTGATAATATGCATTAATCAAAGCTCGGTGCATATCCTGATGCTCATCAACGTCCCATCTGAGTACATCAGTTAGAAGGTATCACTTTACGTTATATGGAGATCAAACGGTTGAGACCTCATCACTATTATAGTTGTTGTTTGAGTTACAAGTTGGTTGCTACATTACTACGAGTCTCAAGATTACGTGGTTACTATCTTGTTTTGATAAGTATTTTTCAAAAAAAGCTTACAAAATATTAAATAGTGTACAAGACTTTCAAATATGTATAGGAATTTGATATCCTTATCGTCATTTGGGCATAATGTATCAACTCCTATCCAATAAAATCTTACCATCTCTGGTTTAAGGTAAAATAATTTTGTATTCTTTCTTGCCTCCTTCGACTTCACTTTCAAATATGTATCCGAAGCCCTCTCTCTCTCTCTCTCTCTCTCTCTCTCTCTCTCTCTCATCCACGAAGGACCCCCGATGGCTAATTGGTCTGGTGATTCAAGTACTCTTGAGATGATGATTAGTCAGTGACACCAGACAATTGGGCCTTTATACATTAACTACTTTCCTTGAAGACACCACAGTAGTGTGAAGCATCCAACCACACCTCGGCATCATCATCCTTTACGAGAAGGGTTGTTACTAAGAAACCAAATAAGCTCGACAAACAACTATAGATTGTTGACTGAGGTGATCATAAAACAAAACTAGTATCAGTTGGGTTTGTATGGAATTCTAGTGCAAGTCATTTTGTGACCGCTAATGCCACGTCTGGAGACTAGTGAAGAATATAAAAAAAGGTCAGGGAGTATAAAGGCAACATTCTTCATACAAATCAGTCCTCATTCGATGAACTGCTGCGACTCCATGTTGCAATCATCATAATGAAAGGAAATAATGAAGCAAATTTTTCAGAGAATGCATCTAGTAGTCAGCCAAAGAATCAAACAAGACATTAGTTTGGTGCTCCTGAGGTGAAGAAAAAGTCAACTATAGATGAAATTTTGGTTGACATTTTATATGCTATATCTGCCTTTGCTATAAGCAACTGATGAACCAAACAAAGGCACCTTTACTAGTGAACATAAATGACAAAATTCTTAATAAATGAATATCAATACACTATCAATACAGCCGAAGATGTTTCTTGTTTAAACCTGCCCTCCCTCTTCGCCCTACAGTATTATCATTAGAATAATGCTACAGATAGAAGGTGGGACTTTGGGGATAAACTAGGAATAGACAGTTTACTATGTACACAAACCATATGACACTGACCATGTCAGTTCGCTCTCGCCGTCCGTCGGATGATACTATAATATGCCCAAATTATGAGAACCCTGCATGCAAGATACAACAATCGTTAGCTGAAGAGAAAACTTTTCCATACACATCATCACATAAAAATCTACGGTTGGACTCTTGGTCCTCTATTAATTAATTTATGCAGTTCAACATCTGACATCATACTATGAACCCACAACCAAATTTTGACCAAAAGATAATGAAACCCACAACCAAATTTTCTGAGTTCAGTCCAATATAAGGATGATAAAAGCTCTCCCAGAACTCAGGCTGCAACTGAATGACTCCTTATCACCCTCATCCCCCAACTTTTCCTTTCTCATATAATCATCACCAAGTCCTGTGACTCTTTTGAAAAGGAAAAAAGCAATAGAATAAAAAGATATCAACTAGAATTTGTTCCACTATTCATTGCCTAATCTTTTACAATTTAGAAACTAACTGGACCAAAATAAGATCTAAATTAAATAAGCATTTAGAACAAAGATGAAATTCACCTAAAAATCCTAGTCAAATAAACAACACAAGTTGAATTTTACATATGGGTCTGCTTCATTCACACAGTAGGACATGATGGATTTATTATCTATTTGCAATTATTTTGAACAAAGCTAACCCTAGCAATTTGTTGCCCGGACATGGACATTAGAAAGTGATGCGGATGCATAACCAAGTGTCAAATTAGAGAGGGCTATGTCGATACAAGGATGCATATGGGAATAAGCTAAAAATCAAAACGATGCTTATGTCGTAATATTGCAAGAATGTGAAACATTTGAGTTAAAAACTCAAGGAGTACTCTAATCATAAAAGATCAACTTCTTATTTTGTTTGTCATTTAATACTGCTTACTGCAATTAGAACATCTCACAATTGCCTTAACTCATGGATAATTGAATGTGTCTAATGCAGCTTATGGGTGTAGAAATAAGACCCATGTACTAGTGGAGTCTAATCTTAGTTATGTGTTTAGCTGTCAAATATTTTTGCAGAATCTTGAAATCGGTGTTTATTCACCGCTTGTCAGATATAACTGTAGTAGATTTTAGTATAATTTGGAGTCCAATGTCATATAATCAGTTTTAAATTCTAAAAGACTTAAAAAGTTCTCTGAGTCCTTGTCTAAGTGACATAAAGTGATGAGCTGTTTATGATATAAAAAGGGGAAAAAGCCTTTCATTTCTTTTAACACTTTTTCTTCCATGCTCTCTGACCAATTAGACCTTTCTGCCATGACAGTAGTCACTTGCTTTGTAAACTAAATATAATAAAAAGGGAGAATCATTTCTGTCATATCATACCTTGAAACCCTACTGACAATCCAATATAACTAGGAAGTATATCAAGCAATTGAGAGTTCCAAATATTCAAATCACAAGATCATTTTATCTATAAATTGCATCATCAAAATGCCAAGCAAAAAATAATTAATTAGGTAACGCCTCTAAGCTTGTGGGCAGTACTTCAAAAGAACAATGACACTAAAGAAAAAAAACCAGTAATTGGAAAAAGAACGTGAAAACATATCACAAGCTGTAACAAAAAATACCAGTCAGGTACCTCAGATATTAAAACATAAACTAATATGCCTTCTAGGAAACTATCCCCTGACCTTAAGGTTTTGTAGCTTGATTTACTGAATCTGAAGTCGTTGATGCTGGTCAACTAATTGTCAATGTTATAGGTGTCAGAGGAGGTGAAGAAATATCCATGGTCATGTTCTGACTTATAGGAACTTCCACCAACTTCAACTGTTAAACTAGGAGTTCTTTGACCACTGGAGGGTATAGAAAAACTGCGAGTCATGGCACCTGGGGGAGTAGGTAGTGGCGATGCCATATGTGATGAGATTGATGGTAGCTTGTTGCTTGCATTATGCTCGCGACCTCTATACACCAAGGGACCAGAATGACCAATCAAACCAGAAGGCCTCACAGGTTTCGCTGAAAAAAGTGGAGGCCGAGGAAGCTCATGAAGTTCATTAATTCTTGGTGATGATATAGGAGGTGAGGAACTTAAAGACAACTTTTGAGCTGCACTAAGTTGAGGTGTGATATGAGTCGGCATTGCAGAAAATCTTGATGGATAATCCACCGTAGACAAGGAACTAGCTGCTGAAAGAGTGGGCTTGTTCGGCAGTGTTTGGCCTGTCAATGGACCAGAGAAAGCTTGTCTCTTGATCTTTTTAGCATCTGAAGGATTCTGTGCAAATTGTGACGTAGATAGCTCTTCATGTAAGGAAGTTGGTCGACTGAGAGGGCCACTATTAATGTTCTCCTTAAGTACTGAATGTGCTTTAGGAAACCTAGTTGGGCTTGGCAGCAGAACATCTCTGGAATCTTTTCCAAGCATATCTGGCTGCAGAGGTGACGAATGATACAACTGTGTTGGGAAGCCACCCTTGTTTACTATTTTAGATGTAGAAATTGTATTATTTGAGCCTGCTAAAGATGAGTTCTTCACATCGAGTGGTGTAGGTAGCACATAGGTGTGATATTTCTTTGTTGATGCAGGACGCATTTGACTTATTCGTTCTGAAAATTCAGGCTTCTTATCAGCCAAAAGAGGTTCTGACATGCTCACACCCCTAGGCCCCCTATTGACATAAAGGTGATCTGCTTGGCTTCTATCCAAATTTTCCTGCAAAGAAAAAGTATGTCAAAACACTTAAAACAGAAAAAAAAAAATTGATGAACAAATTACATAAGAAAAGTGCTTATTCTAAAGATGACAGCTGCTCCAAATACAAATAGAATAACAATAAGATTTCACTTGTACAAATTCCTCTACATACAATTCAATGTTTCTTTACAACTGCAAACTAAGAGAAGTTCCAAAACTTGCAGATGCTGATAATATTGTTTAATATCAACTATATGCTTATACACTTGAGAACTTCAACTGTAGCAAACACAGTGCAAGAGAAATACAGAAGTCGCACAGTAAATATCATCTAGATATTGAGTGGCATGTAAAGAAAACCAAAAGACAACTTCAAGCTGCTTAGTGTGTTTTAAATATAATACCCTAGTGAAAGAAACTACTGCAAGAGTGTGAGAAAAATTTATTCCTATGTTTACTTAATGAAGACCCAGGTTAGTGCTCCTCTGTCTATTGGTCATCATCCTTTGCATGCCAAGATAAGCAAATCAAGGTAAGATAAATGACTAAGGTAGTAAGGTTCATAAAATAAAACAAGATATGTTAAAGAAGTCATGCAACCTCCTTGTGCTTTGCCACCTCAACATCCTTGGAGTGTCATTTCCCACTTTGCCCCAAGGGTCTCATTAGATGTAGATGCTTTTATGGAGTGTCATTTCCCTGCTGTTACCTTCAAGGAGATTAGTTCAAAAATTTGTTTGATTTCCCTACCAACATTAAGAAGCAATGATAGACTGCTATGAATGTGAAAACAGATGGTGATCCACAGAGCATTGTCTCTCGTACACCTTTAGGCAAATAAAGAGGTACTTCTATAAAGATTGATGAACAAGTTTGACCCCTCTCCCAACTTACAAGAAAATTCCATCGAATTCTGACTTCCCTCTGGCCCAATAAAAATGATGTGATAAGATCTACATAGTAAGTACCTCTTTATTTGCCTAAAGGTGTACGAGAGACAATGCTCTGTGGTTCAACATCACATCATTGTGACACCACGTGACTGATCCAATCCTTGAGCTTGTTGACGTGCCTCCAGCAACTCCCTACCTAGTCTACAATAACCATAGGTTTGTTTCTTTCCCAAGGCAACTACAACTTGAACCAAGCTCTTCAATCAGGGGCTTGCCCTTGCAATGGAATAAAGCCAACTCCTCTGTCTCTGGTGTCATGAACCCCTGACCCTGAGATTTCTGTCCATTTTTTGGAAGGGGATCTTAATAGGTCCTCTAATAATTTATTTTCTTGCTCAGACTACTTCTAGTCACTTAGTTGCTAGAAGGTCACTGATAAGCATAAAACCCCCTTCTCTCTTTCCAGTCACATATCCTTACCTGCAGTTAATTCTTTTTCTTCACTACATTCAGCATGCACTTTCTCATTGAGATTTCTTCTTTCCTCCAAAAAGTTCTTGTCTTGGAATGCTCATGAGATAGGCCAATCTTGAAAGAGACAAAACACCCAATGTTTTTTGCCTCCAGGAAACAAAGTTATGCAACTCTGTTTCTACCATTCAGCACTTCTTTGGGAGACACTATGACTGGATAAACAAAGAAGAAATTGGCTCTCTAGGAGACACTCTAAATGGATGGAACAAATCAACTCTTGGTAAAGAATGACAATAATTATTGAATAGATAATCTTTTTGTGTTAGTTAAATCTTTTTTATCATATTTGGAATATCTAGCTATGGAATAGATGCACACTGGTGTTTATAGACCCCATTAGACTCAGCCTCTCCAAGAATTCCAGGTCAAGTTTAACACCACACAAACCTAGGCCTTCCAATTTTGAGCATTGGTGGAGATTCCCGTATCATCAGTAAGATCTCCTTTCAGAGAAGTTCTGTTCCACCTGAAAATTCTGAGATGAGAGACAAATGCCTCCATCAAAAGTAGCTTCCTGGTTCATCCATCCAATTGTATGTTCACCTGGTGCAACATGATATAGTTCAAATGCTTGTCAAATTCCTCATATACCTTTCATGGGACCTAGTATTTTTATGATGCCCCCACAGTTCTATGAATCAAATCTACCAAAAAAGCAAGTAATTTCAGGTTTAGACATTTTTTGCCCCAGATAATTAAGCAAAGCGTATGCGCCAGCACTAGAACCATCTTCAGCTACTCAGGTCAAGCCTTTTAAGATCTGGAAAATCAAACAGAAGCATTTGATAAAGAAGAGGACAGCTATATTATTTCTAAAGACCAAAGAGAAGAAAGAAACTGAAAGTCTTTGATGGCTAAAGTATATAACTGCAGATTCAAAGTCATTGTCTTAAAAGAGAAGAAAATTTTCCATACTAATCCCTGTTAGAGAATGATGAATAAAGCCTTCCATTCCAGAATCCACAAAGGAGAATACTAATGGAAGATCTCTTAGAGATCATACAACTTTTGTTTTCATAACCAACCACAATAATGATGACAAGTGATGATATTTCAACTATCTGAGGCTGGCTACATGAATCTTCCATACCATCGATCTTTGTGTAAGGTAATACTCCTAGTAAAATCAAAAGCATTCCAATCCTTCTTCTTATTTTTTGTTACTAGTAAAGTGTTCTTAGATCTCCCTATCTCTCCTGAAACCACTAATTCTAATCAAGTCTTTTTTTATAGCAAGCATGTTGCATATTAACTAGGAATCTGTTCTGACAAAAAGGTAAGGAATCACCCCTCCTGTCCAAAAATTAGCAAAGACATTCACTCAAACTTACGCTGCAAGATCATGAGCCAGCATTTTGGATTCTCTTGGGACGTAACTCCACCAATTACAACATCAAGTCAACTTCTCTAATTACGACATCTAAAATTCTTATTTGATCATGTCCATAACATGTTTATTGGTTCTCCCTCATTCTAACCTTTATGAAAACTATCACTAATTATTCATGAATAAAAACATTTTTCTTTTTGATAGCATGCAATCCACATCAATATTTGCATCTCAGTTATACTTATTTCTTGTGCATCTTGTTTCTTAATTCTAATAGTCCAATCTATAAATCATGGTTTTAAAATTCTTATAAAATATTTCTTTTATTCTAAGGGCACATAACTCTTGATGCTACTCTCCAATTTAATCATCCTACTTTTACTGTTATTTAATCATCTAATATAAAATCAGTATCTTCATCAATTTCTCCTTTCTAATTTCATACATAATTCACATACATACATCCCACTTTTACACTATGAGCATCGTCTTCATCAGTCACTTCTTTCTATTTTCATCCCCTAATTCATAAACATACCTATTTAGATCGTGCTTTAAATATCAAGGAATCACAAGTGGCTGAAAGAATGGTTGTAGAAATAAAAATAGTTAAAATAAATATAATAAATTAAATCATAATTACTTGCTTGTTGACTAAGCATTTGGGCCTCAACACAAACATCTGCCTATGTGTTTAAGAACTTAAGATGATTCTGATAACAACACAGTCCACAATAAATAAATCAGCATACTTTTTCCTAGTATTATCTAATGTACATCAAGGACTATAAATTAAAGTAATGTCTTCGTCTGCGTAATGAGTAGATCAACAATAGACATGTCTGACTGTATTCCAGAAGTAATTGGTAAAGAATAACCTTATTGTGTTGACTAGCTTCTTGATTTTGCACATTATGTATGTAGAGCTTACGTTTTAGGTGCCTAAGTTCGGTAACAACCTTGATTCTTGCTGGCTAAAGACAACTTACAACAGGTTGAGATATAATCCTATGGCTGAAGTTTGTAGACTTCATATTTTGAGAAATAACTTAAACCCACAATTAGCCACGTCTTATAGAAACATGCCATAGAGGAAGCAACAAATGGAACATGCATATGTTGTCAATCTATCTACAAGATGATATATGATGATTAGTTCTCATTACCATTAGTGACAAAGTTAGGATCCCAGATATAAGAATGTGAAAGTGCTATCCAAGTGCTCATTTTCAGTTGTATTCTCTCCTATGATTCCTTTTTCATTAATTGAATATTAGAATGTGAAATTATCTACGTAGGGAATGATCAAGCTTGATTTTCAAAAAAAATTTATGCATTTCATTAGCTGCAAAGAGCCTTTTTCATTCATTTTGTTGCTTAATAGTAATTTAATTGCATTAAATTATTACAGTTTTGGTAGACATATACAATCTTAGGCAGAATTGCCAGACTGTTGAGAATCTTTCTTGAAATTGGTAGAGACTAGGAGATTTCCCAAATTGATCTAATTGTAAATTAAATCTGCAAAATATGTTACCACCAATGAAACAAACAATAAAAAGAAAACAAACTCTGCATATTTAATAGGGACCAAATCCACCTAAATACTACTTGATGCTATTTGCATCTTACTGCAGATAGTCTAAACTTACAAGTATGGAATTTAAACCATAATGGTTGGACACATTCATGTTGCATCTAAACAACTGAACACTAAAGGCACCAAGGTTTTAGTTCCAAAATAATATTAATTTAAGATGTAGTTGATACTTGTTTATATTTAATATTTTGATCACCTCTCTTCAGATGTATGACTTCAACAGTTGGGTTGAAGATACCTCAATGTTCCACAAATGCATGAAATATACAAGAATCGACCAACATATATTTGTGAATACAATTCCTAATGGCTCAAACAAATTGTAATGGAAGTTATAATGGTTCTCTACTACAAAAAAGAATTTAAAATTAATTGCAATAAAAAAGATAATGATATGAAATATCCTACTGTACTAGAAAATAGAGTTTAGTTAACGCCATTCCCTGCATAAAGATTTGACATATACTATAGTATTGGCTGAAAAGCACAAAGGCAGTGCAGGGCACCTTAGAACTTGTTTTTTTGACGTATTATGCAAGTAGGTCAATCAAAGTTCTTGCTTGCTCAAACATTATTGACAATGAATGTGATACACTGGTTTTAGCCTGCACCTGCCAAGAAGAACTTAAGATCTTAAGGAGAAATTGAGTTCCATCACACATCAAAATCTCATGTCTCTGCCAATCTTTTTCTCCCTTTATTTTTAAACCTTTTTTTTCCTTATAACCAAGGTTTGCCGTACCGACTGTACCGCCCGATACGGGCGGTACGTACCGGTCTGACAGGCTAACGGTACGCGGACCGCCCTGTACCGGTCCGCCCGTACCGAGCACTGTAGCACTGCTACAGTGCTCGGTACACCTGAGTGTACCGAGCGGTATACCATACCGTACCGGTACCGAGCCCGGGTCGAAACACCGGTACGGTACGGCGAACCTTGCTTATAACCATTATTTTTTTCATAATCTGTTTTCAATTTCTCATAAATTCCCCTTCAGACTACACCCTAAAGCTGCAAATCGGGTGGTCAGGTTCGGTTGAAAGTCATTCCAAAGCCAACCCAACACTTTTCTCAACCTTATCCAACCTAACCTGTTATTTGGTCGGAATCATTCCAATCGTAACCCAACCTAAGACTGAGTTGGGCTGATCTTCCATTTGGTCAGGTCATTTTGAGTTGGGATACTCAGGCCGTACACAATCAAAATACATGAGGTCAAAAGCTTAAAGTCTAATAGTAACATTACATATTGTTTATATTATTTAGTGTAAATCAATATTTTAAAATGGGTTCAGTCTGTGTTAAATTAAGATAGACTAGATTTTATATAACAACCCAACTAAGTTCATGTGTGCTCAGGATTCCCAACTTAAACCTGACACAAATTTTAAAAAAGAAGGAAAGATATCAAACTTTCTCTGCTACAATCCTTAATGTAGATGAGATTAAAATGACCCTTAGCTTCCAGAAGTTAAGGATATACAGATATCAGGAACAAGCATATGAGCACTTGACCAAATCCAAGTCACGAGCACCATCTCTATAGCTCAGGATGGGCTCAGGCAATTAAGATATTTAGCCACCCAGGCCAAGAGGTCTTGTTATGCAGAACTTCAATAGCAGGGTTGTCAATAGCACCAACTCGAGAAAGCAATCCTCCAAGGTTGTCAATTATCCTATGCTATTATTCAGTGAAAATTAATAGTGGCTCCCACAAGGTTTCAAATCTCAACTCTGTCGACATGCACCCAAGTATTGAAATATAGTTTGATGCTGCTACAATGCCATTTATTTTTATAATTTTATACTTTTATTCAATGATACCGATTGATCAGGTTGGTATGCAGCCTTACATACTGGTACCATACTAGTCTGGTAGGTTAATGAGACCAGTATTAGACCAAGATTATCCTGGTCTCAAATGCAATTTCTTTTTTAATTCTTTAGACCTATGAATAAATTATATTACAATATCTTCATTACTCTCAATAAATTCATTTTTTCTATTATATGCCTTTTTCATGTATAAATTTGAAAGGTCCCAACTCCCAATATTGCTTCCAAGAATCAATACTGCACCGAGAAACTTTTTTGTTCATTAATTTTTCTTCACATTTATGTTATACTATGATCAAAATTAAAAGTCAACAAAACCTAAACTAAAATTTCCAAAACATTTCAGCTAACGACTAAGTAGCATGGACACATGCTTTTGGCAGTCGTGTCCTTGTCCAATACGTGTCGAACACACGGACACACGTGCCGGACACTTGCATGCGATGTTGCATTCACATGACCCTCACATGAGGGTCATATTCTTCGCAAGAAAAAAAATTTGGAGATCGTCACAAGAAAACATATACAAAGTCAATCTAGAGATTGTTAAATATTATTTGATGTACTCGACCTTTATTTTGGATACTTAAATTTTGCTGATTTTAATTATTTTAGTTTGTACTATGATATTTATTTGTTCAAATTGCTGAGTTTATAAAACTTATGTATAAATACTATAAAACTCATGTTAATCGAATATCATATATATATATATATATATACATGTGTCCTTGTCGTACCCGTGCACTAGTTTTTTTTTAAATGACATGTTGCCATGTTCATGTCATGTCCAATGCATGTGTATGTGCTTCTTAGCCTGACCATTTGTGTGAGAAATACACCTACATTCATGGATGTGGAAGCATAGGTACACACAGATGCAAAACTGATTCACGTTGGCTTAGAGAGACGATGCATGGCCAGCATTAAATGGAATTGCATAAAGAATATAAGACAAAAGGAAGATATTTTATGGCAAAAATTAGGCCCAAAGCAGACAAAGATCTCACCTCCATTGACATTCTAGAATGAGAAACAGCATCTTGACCATGGCCATTTTGTCCATAGTCAAAACTCGCCACTCCATCATCATTGACATCATAATCATCCACCTCCTCATCTGTGTCATCATCCTCAAGACCAATAAACTGATAGTCAATATGCTGTTGTTCAGCAATGACTTTGACATGTGGCTCTACCATCTCTAGAGACTTGACTCCTTTTCTAAAGAAATTTAACTGATTCGACACAGGAAAGACCTATCAGTTCGTGGTTCCAGATAATGATAAATTTGACTGAGTTGAGAAAACAACCTGTGCTGCATGGTGCCGAGTAGCTTGTGTCAAGAGACTTCGGGATTGTCCTTGCTTTAGTGATTTTAAGCGGAATACAAAAAAAGTTGCCTCCTCTTGGAAATCTTCTTGAGCTGTTTGCAACTGTTCTGAAGTAAAATGTTCAACTTTCACATTTCTCAGTGTCCCCTTTTCTCTTTGTGTAGCTATCATGGACCTATACAAGTCCCTGAAGAAGGTAGACTAAATTTGAGACAGTGGTATTATAAAGTGTAGAAAAAAATAAATAGATAAGTGTATTAGCAATTTAGCATCACACCTTTTCTCATCACACTGACGTTTCATGTCCTGTATTGACAAATATTCCCATTATAAGATAATTAAGACTACTTGTGGAGAACATAAATTTTGCAAGCTAGACAAACTTTAAAGGGAAAAATGCAGATGCTTTAATAATGTCATAACTCATAACCAACAACATGAAGTTTTGATGGCTTAAAACATATGGGATAAGCAGAGAAATGAAATATAAGTTTATTGCACGCAGGCTATGACACATCAGAAAGGCAATCTTATTTAGAACATTTGCCAATAACTTGTATGAAACAAACAGTCCACAGACTCACCACAACGAAAATTAGCATTTTTTTTATTTTAACAACTGATAAAACTTATAGCAACTAGATGTAAGGAGGTTAGAATATAAATGTTCTAAAAAATTTTAAGTAGCAACCTGCTGGGAATTATTAGGACTTGTTACTTATGATGTGAAACTCCTTAGACAAGGTTTTTTCAATGCAGACATAGAGCTTACCAAAAACCTAAGCTTCTTCCAAAACCAAGAATTAGAAATAGAAGTGGAATTGAAGGATAGAGTGTTTATATTACAAATATTGCTCTTTGCCAAAGAGAGTTCATTTAGAATGTGCTATGATCTGAAAAGTTGAGAATATTTACAGTGGTTATGTTGTCTGGATATTAATTTACATTTGAAACACTAATATGAGAAAAATCTGATAGGCCACTCTAAAGTGTGATACTTTCTAATAAAAGAAATTTAACCAAATCCAGACTCACCATAAGGTTAAGAAAAATAATAATCTTTAGCATACAGATAGAGACAGACAGTTTTATATCCAGTGGGGAAAGTTTTTTTTGTACAAAGTAACAGGCCAGAAGAAAAAGATATTGAGGAACCAAACAAACCCTACAAAATAAAGAAAACAAATCAACCACCAGTCAGCTTGCATCCTGAAACCCTAGACCAAGACTAGAGAAGAAAATGATCCATATCCTACAGGCAGGAAAAAATGGAGGTCTCTTGCAAGTATCATAGAAGGATCAACAGAAATTCTGTCCAAGACAAATGAAATCAAACTTGAATGCATTAAATCCTTCCAACCCGGACAAGTCCATACCATGGTATTTACTGGCCCGAGCATGAAAAGGGATGCAGATCATTCTATTTCAAGCGGTCCAGTAGGGATTTATTTTAATGGCAGGGCTGGTGTTTTCTTAAAGACATTGGGTTTGTTAGGACTTCTGATTCCATGTTAGCCCATCTCTCCTCTCCACCATTTGCCAGACTGCTGCTGCGTATCCAGCAGTGACTTGCAGCCCACATTAAGCCTCTGGTAGTAACATGGTACATATTGGTAATATACCATGTTGGTTCCAATAAAACATCAAGCCTGAAAACCACGTAGAAAAATTCTACTACTAAAGAAAAAATGATGGCCCTCTTCTTCTGAAATGAAATGAAATTCTGGGAGAGGCTTACAAATAAAAAGTTCAACTACGATGTGGATAGACAAAAGGAGTTGCTAATAAGAATGTCTTATAGTCTTATGCCCAGATATTCACAGTACATGTCTGAAATCGATATAAAAAAAAGACAAAAAAACAAGAGACAAAGATCTTTGTGTGAAACAAAATCCCTTGCCTTCCTAATGGAGTATATTGGTGCAGATGGAAAAGGCTGTCAGATTGTATCATCTAAAGGTATATTTTATAGGGTAAGAGACCTCAACCTCATTTCAAGTATAACTAGGTCCAAGAAAATGGGAATTTATGTGACTATATGGAACCTTACATGAATCTCAATAAAGCATTAAAAACTCAGATATCTGAAAACTTCATCTCACTTATTATAAAACATAGCACTGCATAATTGTTAATCAAAATTAAGATATTGCATAAATAGTTTTATTCGACATTGAGAATATCCAAGACATGCCCTCCATGGAGGAGTTTGCTCAACAAGGAAAAGAGCTTGATTATATAGATATCATTTCTAAAAGTAAATCAACAAACATATTTTGACCTTAAAAATCATCCTTGTCGACTACTTATGAATAAGTTGTGTTCCAAAAGATTTGTTCATCTAATATAGATTTTTTTGTGTATCATTTTATTTTATTGTAATATTAATCATCCTTTTCATCAGATACATAAAATGCACCATACTATCACCTACTGTTGTTAACAATAAAAATAAACTAGAAAAAATAATTGGCAATATAACTTTGTAACTAGTGGCAGTGCTGCACCAAATAGTTGGAATATCATGGCTAAGGTTTGCTTTACCGATCTGTACCGATAAGCCATCGATACAGCACATACCGATGTATCGACAAGCCATCGATACAACACATGCCGATGTATCGACAAGCCATCGATACGGTATGCTTGGGCATATCGACAATATGATAAAATTATCAAAAATAGCTCTAAAAATTTCTAAAAAATTAAAAAATGGATTAGTGTTTTTAAGTTAGAAGTAAATATAAATTTAGTATAATTTTAGCAAAGATAATCTAAATAAGAAAATAATAGTGCCATATCTTTTTCGGGCTTTGCAAAGTAACTTTTTGATATGTTCCAGACCTTTCCAGTAATTTTGAATTATCTATAAAGAAATTATTTGAGTTGTTAGATTATTTTTTAAACAACTTAAACTTTAAGATTCAAATGAATCAAGTAATCAATTGATAGATATACCTGATTCTATAATAAAAAAGAACGATGGGACTCTACGAGCGATGGATCAGGGTCCTCGATCCTATGTATCTCTATATATCAATTTAATATGTTTGTTGGACCCAATCCTAAAAATGATCCCACAACATAGTATATTGATATACCTTAATACCATTGATGGATCAATGTGGTGATAGTCGTAGTTTGATCATCGTGAACCATGTGTTCGAAACAACTCCTAAGATAAGAATGATTGTGGCATGTATTGGTTAGTGATTTAAGAAGCGTTGGGCACCAAAAGGCGCCAAAGTCTAAAAACACTCGAAGCGCTAGGTGCCCGCTCGAGCGAAGCGAGACACTCTAAAATATAAAAATACATAATATATAATATCATTCATATAATAAATAAAGATTATTTTTTACAGTAATTAATAATCTACTATTAACAGTATATTATTTACTGTTAACAACAATTAAAAGGAAAGATATAACTATTAAAAGGAAAAAAAAATATCACCCAGTGAAACCGATAGTGAGAAATCAAAACTCAGAAGAGAAGCAACAGACAACATCAATGGCAATGGATAGCGATGGCGACCGTAGAGTCGCAAACAGCATGAGGCAACGAACAACAGTTGCGGTCATAGAGTCACGAACAGCAGCGAAAGAGGAAGACTTGGAGGCAGCAGGCTAAATCGTTGACGACGAAGACAGTGTGAGAAATCGTCGGCGGCGGACACAGAGGGAGAAATCGTCGACGCAAACGCAAAGGGAGAAATCGTCAGTGGCGGAGGCAGAGGGAGAAAACACACATTTAACCGAACTCGATTGCCTTATATCAACTAGGCACTCGCCCAAAGCATCCAAGCGGCACCTTATTGAAGTACACCGCCCGGCCCTTATATGAGACGCTCGGCCCTCGCCTCACCCGAGTGACTTTTTAAATCATTGGTATTAGCGCGAAGCAGTGATTTAAAAAGGCGCTCGGGCGCTCGCCTAGGTGCTCGGGCGAGGCGAGGCGAGGCCCGAGCGCCTCGCTAATCTCCCAGGCGGCGCGCTTCAAACAGGCGCCGCCTAGGCGCTCGCTCGAGCCCAGGCGCTGGACGCTTCGGGCGAGCGCCTGGGTTAACCAAGGCGACCGAACCAGGATTTTAGGTCTGGTTCGGTCCTGATTCGATCTCTGATGGTTAGTTGGTTCAATCGAACCAACTAAAATCGATATAAGTGAGAACCCAACCCTAACCCTCGCCGTTGTCGCTGCCGCTGCAGCTCCCGATCCCGATCTCGCTGCTCGCCGCTGTCGCTGCTCGCAAACGCTACCTCTATCGCTGCTCGCCGCTCCTGCTCCTACTGCCGCTGCTCGCAAACGCTACCGCTATCGCCGCTCGCGCCTCCCGCTGCTCGCCGCTGCCACTGTCGTCGTTGCCTCCTTACACTCTGCTGTCGCTTCCTCTTTTCTCAGTCAGCAGGCTCAGCACCCCCTTACACTTCCTTCTTCTCCTTCTGTTAACAGTATACTGTATACTGTTAATATTGTTAGGTTTATTTAAAATTATTAATCTTCAATACTGTTAATAGATTTTCTTAATTTAATAGCATATTTTAATTTAAAATTTTAAATAATTATATTTATTAATTATTTTTTATATTTTTATATTTTAGCGTCTCGCTTCGCTCGGGCGAGCGCCTAGCGTCTCGGACGTTTTTGGACCTTGGCGCCTTTTAGCGCCTAGCACTTTTTAAATCACTGGTGCGAAGCATGGAGAATGTCAGAACTTCTAATTTCACCACTGAAGATCGATTATCGTATTATTGCTCAGAGAAGTAAGACCAACAATTACCATATTGTTGTTGGCTGTAAGATTCTCCATAATACAACGATTATGAATACAATGAGTTTCGCTCTGTGCCTACGTCGTGTAGGCTCTCTAGCATCTACTCAAAATCATTCACTGCCTTCCCCTTCCTCTTCCTCGTGGAGCTCCATGATCTGAATATTGGGTGGCATATATAAAATACTACTTATCGGTCCATGCACCACCCTCAAATTGTGTAGACATGAGCATCGACTCCCTAGCGTCATCGTCATCATCAGTCGAGGAACTGCTATCCATATCGTTGCCATGTCTCTGGATCGAGCGGGTTGCTGAATATGACTGATAAGGTGTCTCACCGTTGATTTAATTCTTTCTAACAATGCGACTGATGCTACCGTCTTCCCTTTTGCCTTTACACGTTGGGTGGACAACTGTGACGAAGAAAAGGGTTTAAAAACCATTTCCTATGGTTCTAATAGTCAAATTGATCGTTTGAAGTCCCGAGTTATTTAGATGTTATCATAATTTATCAGAGGTACTGAAGTTATGAATAATTTCAAAAGTTAGCAAAATCTGTCAAAGATAACCGGTGTAATTTCTAGTTTGTTCAAGAAGTCAGATTTCTGAGTAATTATTGAGTTGTCAAAGAAGTCAGATTTCCGAGTAATTTTGTGTTGTCGGAGATAAAATCTCAAGTAAATTTTTGCATTGTTCGTGTACCAAGTCATTGTCAGAGAAGTCAAAGTTTCAAGAGGTCGTGAGAGATGTCAAAATATTAATAGTCCCAAATATGTCAAAGTTTCCAGAAAGTAGTCAGATATGCAACAAAATGTAAGTTTGTCAAAGGTGTTGAAGTTTGGGAGTAACTTGTAAAATTAAATTTTGTCAAAATCCTAAGTGGACTCCAAAATTATAAAAATTTGTTGGCTATGGACCTCAAGGGACATTTGAAAATGTAAGATCCATCAAAGATTTTTACAAGGTTGCAAAATCCATCAAGGGCATGGACATTGCAAATAACATGAAAGACTATAGAAAAGACACGAAATTTGCCTTTCCACTACATAAGTGAATAAATTATCATATTTCTTGTAATGATTAATATAAGCTCTGTCATAGAGTTGCAGAAGCATTCTTGCCAATTTCAGTCAACTAGACCATCTGAATTGACATTTTATTCATATAATAGAAAAACATTAATTTTGGAATCCAGAGCACATATGTTTTTTTAATGTCTACAGTCATGTGCAAAAAAAAGAAGCAAAATGGACAACTTACATTGATTTTTTATATCTTAAAACAGATGTCAAAAAGATATGCTTCCACTGCCATACTTCATATATTTGCAAATAAGACCATTGACCAAAAGATATTCTTGTGCATGGACGTGTTCTCCAGGTATAACTAGATTAATTGCTAAAGAAGATCAGGTGAGCAAATCACCCATTTTTCCATGGCATATATGACTGCATGAAGATTCATGTTTGCAACATCCTTGCAAGAAGGCACCTTAATTTTGATCCTTTTATTGGCATATGATACAACAAAATGGTCTACTAGTGAGAACCATAGATGGCACAAATCCAATAAACATGAACTCTGTAACAACCATTCCTATGTTGATTAATTAGGTCTCTCCACATCATTGAGGCAATATATAGCAACAAGCCAACAACTCCATGAAATAACAATTGCAGTTGTTCTCAATCTCAACTCATTCTCTATACTAGTCCGATCATAACATGTATCATGCGCACCTGAACCAACTAATTTTCAACCATGCTAAATCATACAAAACTGACAACTGAATAAGAAAAACAAATGCATAAACGATTATGAACTATATCAAATAAATCACCATTTTCTCTCAAATAAAAGATAAGTACAACAGTGTAACCTCGACAGTTTGAAGCTCCTTGAGAAGAGACTCTGATGGGGTTGTTATGGTCTGGATGATATGTGTACGCTAAAAATAGAGAGAAGTTAATTATTGCACTTTAAGTTTGCAGATGCAATTTAAAATTTAAAAAATTAATTGCCAAAGCACGACAGACAGGACTCACATAACTATCGACAAGTTTCTGAAGTTCAAACTGTGCTTTTCCAAGCATTAACAAAACTCTACCTGAATGAATTAAAAAACTGCCAATTATGACCTGTAAGTTACTTTAATAATCATAACAAGATCAATTAATCACACACTTTCCAAGATTTTATAAAAAGCTATTCTAAAATAAAATACCATGTGGATAGATACAGTATCTAATAAATTGAATGCCAAGATGATAATGAACATACTCAAGCAATTAGAGAAAATATATTAGTCAGAGCTCCTTTCACAATTAAGATTGCTATGAAGTTCTAAGTTTAGATGAAATAAATTGAATGCCAGGATGATAATGAACATACCCAAGCAATTAGAGAAAATATATTAGTCATAGCTCCTTTCACAATTAAGATTGCTATGAATTTCTAAGTTCGGATGACATGACCCTTACTATGATCTACAGATTAAAAAAGAGGTAAGGAACTATTTGGCACACTTACCACTTTCTTCATCATCATTTAATGCAGTTTTTTCAAGAAGACAAGCACCCAGTTCCCGCAAGGCTTCCGAGAACTCTGAAAAATACACAAATGTCTAAAACAATTCCTTGGTATCCTTAAAAAGCTTTACACAAAAAGATGAACTGCTTTGACAAACAGATACATTAAACATCATTTTTTGCAATTCTAACAATATGAGATAATAAATATTCCATGCTGTTATATAAGTTAAACTCAGCTAACTTGGAGCGAACATGTACTAGATAGACAAACTAATTTTCAGAAAATTTAAATGAAGGTACTCCTTGCTTTTTAAAAATTTTACTTATTATAACTGAGAAAGTTCAGTTAATTAGCATGTATAAAATGCACAACAATGATGATTGTATGCCACTTAGATATCTAGTTATTTACGGTAATATTTTCATGAAAAAGTTAAAATTCTAAAAAGAACAAACAATTACAAGTCAAGGATAAGAATAAACTATTTTTATACGTTGAACATGATATCCAGAACAAAATAATTGACATGACATAAAGCATTAAAGAGTGGTTCCACCAACAAGGGGGAAAAGAACAGTGTGAATAAATAGGAAGAGAACCAGAAAGACAATCAAGGTAGCAAATCTACAAAAGCAGCATGCACTTATTATTGTTTAGATATCAAAAGAACAATTGAATGTTGTAATGCTGATATAAATTGACATAAAAATTTCTACCACAATATGCTAAACGCGAAAAGTTTTGATTCATAACTAATTAATAAGTATCAGTTGTTTCTTCAGATTTAAATGCCTTAGTTAGATATAAGGGGAAAAGCATATAAAGGTCCCAATGGACAAACTTTTAAAAGCCACATAAAGATACTGGATATGGTGATGGATGGATGCAAATGGATAATATATTTAGACATGGTGTACAAGGATGGCAATGAGGTAGTGGGGTCATGTTATCATAGACTTTCTTGGAATTTCCTAAGTCGTGAGACGCTCTTGCGATAGTTGTCGATGAGGAGTCAGCACAAGTGCAATCTCACACAGGTCTCAGAGGTCATGTAAAACAAAAAGTTAATTAGTTTAAAAAATATGTGGTAGACAAGTTGCAACAACTGAAACAAATGCACACACTCAAGCAAATTAACACACATGGAAAGCAAAGGGAATAGGACTTTGAACAGTAAAAAATAGCCTAAGTCTAGAAACAACCGTTTAACCAAGTGTACGATCACTTGGCAAGCCTACGCACGATCAAGCTCAAGTTTTCCAAACTGATCACTAACACTATACCAAAGTCCCATCTAACCCTACGCCACACGAGGGATTTTAGGATTCTAAGAAAGCTGACGTTTTGCATGATGTGGCTACCTCAAAGAAATCAACCTGTGACACGAAAATGGGGTCGTTTTGGCCCTTTTGGTTGTTTGGCAAGTGATCACTACACAGCCTTGTGGACTGTCTTGGCCTAAAAACCTAGGACAAAACACACATGAATAAAGCAAAATACAAAGCTAAAGAAAATAAAAGCTACAAATAATCCATTGAAGGTGTTGTGGGAGCATGGCGACTGTCCGTGACATTCCACCCCACTTATTCTATCAACACCCTCATCCATGATTGCTGGTAAGCAACAATAGCTTCTCCATGTCGCGCGGTGTTCTCTGACGCCCACCTGGCTTTAGTTATGGAAAATTTTCTCTCACTACATTAGGTACTCGACCTACTTTCCTCCATTAGATAGCTTTGTCTTGTGATCCGCTAGGGTGCCTTCAACTTGCCTTTCATATGATTCTCACATAGGGGTGGTCAAGTTGAGACATTCCTTAATACGTCTTGTGGATCCGAAATTATTGGGGTGGCACATGTCATGAACTTTGATCTAGGTCAAAAGTTGCAACCAATAAGATATATTGCCTATTTTGTCAATGACTGAGAAGGGCCCTCAATATTGGTCTACCAATCCATTGTGCAGTTTTTACCTAAAGAACCAAAGGGATACTAGTTACAATCTTACCAACACAAGTCACGGACCCAAAGGCAAGGTTCTAAATACCATACCGCACCGGTGTACCAATCAGCTATCAGCACGATACGTACCGAGCTATAACAAGCTATACCGAGCATACTGACACACGATACACTAAGGTGTACCGATTTACCGTCCATACTAGACCTCTATCGAACCGATACATACCGAGCCATACGGTACGGTATTGCCAACCATGCCCAGAGGTCGCCTTAAATCTACCCACTTCACTTTTTTTACGACCTTCTCCAAGTATGCCCATGCAATACAAAATGATATGCTGATGGGCTACTTCTGATGCATCTAATCACCAAGGTATGAAGAGTCAATGGTTGTCCAATGATGATTTTAAAGGGGCTCTTGTTGGACACGGAGTTTCGATGTACATTGTAGGAGAATTGAGCTATAACTAAGAGTTTCACCCAATCTCATTGACTAGCACTCACATAGTGCAAAGATGTTGCTCTAGAAGGGAGTTTATTCACTCGGTTTGGTTATCCATCTAGGAGTGAAGACTTGTGGAGTAGTATAGTTTGGAGCCCAACAACTAGAACAACTTAATCCAAAATCACTACAAGAACCACACATCTTGGTCGTTGAAAATATTGTGCAGAATTCCCCAAAACTTCATCACATTCTTCATCAACAAAACTTTGTCATCACTTCCACTAGGCAATGTAGGGGTGCAAAAATGTGTTGCATATTTTGAGAATCGATCGACTACCATGGCCTAAGTCCCCCAACTATTGGTAGGCTAGATATGAAGTCTAAAGATATTATCTCCCACAACCTCTCTAGCATAGGCAATAACTCCAGAAGACCCAAGTATCACTTGGAAATCATCCAATGGCACCACCATCATGTTGTGCTTCCACTCGACATCCTGACCTTGATGGGTGTCATGGGACCCCATTTGACAACCCAAAGATCATGGGACCCCATTTGATGGGAGTCATGGGACCCCATTTGATGGGAATCACTTGGAAATAAATAACAGTAAATATAGGCTGCAAAATTGATTGAACAAGGGAATCTTCCTGTTGTTACTGTAAAATTGCAGAGCATCGCTTTATGAATAGGCATAAGATACGATAATTACACAAGAAAATAAATAATTGGCAACAAATAAGAAACACAGAAATAATAAGATGTAGAAGCTGAACAAGAGAACGAAGGTGAGACAAAATCAACCCACTTTAGAGTGATCTTGGTAGTTGAATCTATAGAGATGGGAGTTCAAACAATTCCAACAGACTATTTTGCAAATATCATCTCATTTGAACATCATGTTCGTTGTCCTCGAAGTTGGTAGTTCACTTGCTGCAGCTTCTAACCTGTAATAAGTTTCTGATTTGCATCTTTTGTTTTTGGGTACTATTTTGAAAAAAGAACTGAACCTTTAGCCGCTGCCTTGATTGCATGAGAGCAAAATACTTGTTTTTTGTTTTATTTTATGCAAACTTATAGGTGTCCAGAACCCATAATGCTATTTTCTAGACATACAATCAAAGTCTATCAAGAAAACCACATCAGAGAACACCTCTTCATGAGAATTACAACAAAAAATGACTCTTAATCACCATCGATTAGGCTATTGACTTCTGATGAGAAATTGGGTAAAAAGATGTGATAACAAACAAGACTGCAATTTCTATACCCCCGACAATTATCAGAAGGAATTGAAGATAAGTTGTTAGTTGAACAATTCCTCAGAAACCATCATAAATGTTGATAAACGCTCCTTCAAGTAACTCAGTGTTGAAACAGAGTACCAAAAAAAGAAAGAAAAGACAAACCCACTGATTTGAAGGAACTTATCAACAAATAAATGGTATAAAATCAAACTTATTACCATATGCGCTATTTGCAGTGGCAGCAGCAGCAGAAAGTAAGCTATCATAGCAGTTCTTCATGTCAAGCATGTCCTACAAAATACAAAGCACCAAATTTGACAATGTTAGAAAAATGCAACCAGGAATTTGTTTCTGATTAGACTTTCACAATTCAGTAAGAAAAACAAGCATCATTCATTGAGTTGTGCTCAGTGTTGACTTTCTCAACTCTGGAGATAAATTGTAGCATGCGACTAGCAATAAACAGCTCATAAAGTAATTATACTACCATGTTTTTTTTTTTTTCTTGCTGCTGATTTGTTTGATAAACAATCATTCTATGAGGAGTCATGAAAATATCAAAAGGATAAAAGAGCCAGATAAGTTCTTATGATGGAACCAAAGAGCTATTACGTCGCATCAACACATTTAGACTGAAAACATACTGATGAAACTACTGAGAAAGAAATCGGATCTTCTTAAGAACAAATGATAGATTGAAAAAAACTTCGTCCGAAATAGATTCCGTGTCTCCTGTACTGCATTTAGGTATCATTCGGTTGCGGCTATACGTACCAAGGAACCAACAACAGATGGGAAAAAGCAAAATAGAGAAAGGTACAATCTGAGATAACTAACAGTAAAAGCAAGAATACATTTCATAAAGGGAAGGGTCGAAAGGATAATTATAATCCTTGATAAATCAACACTTTCTAAATCAAAATGAAGAAAAGTTTATCAAAGCTCCTCTTCTCAATGAAGCCGAAGTACTTTCTTCAAAATAGGAAAAGGCGTGGAAGGAAATAATAGCAGTAGGAAACGAACCTGGGAGGCCTGGAGGAGCTCGTCCTGGTGCGCTGGAAAACGGGCATTCCTCTTCTCCTTTTGGTCATGCTTGTGGAACGCGAAGCCCCGTAATTTCCTAAGCGACGATTTCATTTCTGCCCCTCTTCTCTATCTTTCTCGCCCGGTCAAAAACACACGATCAAAGCCCCTTTCCCTTTCCCCCTTCGTCGCCCGACCAAATCGATCGATCAAACCAAACAAGAGCAAATCCCATCTCAAATCCCTAACCCGAACAGGGAACCATGGGGAACAAGAAACTATTCGAAGAGAATAGATCGAACAATAGCAAAAGCAAACGAGGGTGAATCTAAGAAACCCTACGAGAGATCCCAAAGAAATACGAGAGATGGATCAAATTCCGCAGAGGGCGCTCTCTCGCTCCCATCTCCTTTCCTTTTCTTCTATTGGTTCCCTTCGGTTGGTCAATCGGAGATATTTTATAAGGGAGAAATAAAAATAAGGGAATGTCGCGAAAAAGAGAGGAATACGAAGGGAGAAAGAACGGGTCCTCAACCGGCCCGATCGAACCCATCCAAGTTTGAGTCGAACCGGTCTCACGTAGTTCAACCGGTCACATTCGGCTTGAGAACATTGATGGGATACGCCGTCACTGGATGTCAACGGTCCTCCTTTGCGGCCGTCCGATGGCGGTGTACGTTCGCGGACTGGATCCACTTCAACGTAGCGTAACCGTCCGTTTCCAACAAAAATTCGACGAGGAATCGATGGGTGACGGCTGGGCACGACGTGTCAGCATATGATTGGCTCAAAGAACGCCGGTGACGAGTTTAGTCGAGTATGTGTCGTAGGAGATGGATGGATTTGGCTGGGAAGAGAGGATGTCTCCGGCGACGTCGATGCATATCAGCAAGAAAAGTCAATGGTATTCAAGTCCATTAACGCCGCTGATTTGAATGATGCTGCACGATTCTAAGAGATTGGACGAAGAATTCTAAGAGATTTTTTATGAAAGAAACTTTGGTCATACGAGCTAGCCTTATATCTGATTTTTTTTTTTTTTTCCTACTTCTTAACATTCTACTCGCTTCGGTCAAAAGGAAATATATTTTTTCTCGACACTCTTTCTAATTAGTTGAATTTTTATTAATTATCTTTATAAAAACAGTCTGGTCATTAGCATATTGGCCGCATAGTTAAATGATATTTTTTTAATTTTGTTAAAAGTTTAGAAGAATTGATGATATATATCAAATAAAATCTCAAAATTTAAAAAATTTCACGTAAAATCTTTTTTCAAAATTATTATCCTAGTCTCATCCCTCTTTGCTAGACTCACACAACAATAAAGGTACAATAGCATCTCTCTAGACCAAACAGTAACATTACAATAGCATCTCTCACACAACCCTCATGACCCTTGTCCTCCTTGCACTAGCAAAGACACAAGCAACATTACACGTGTAAGAGAACGGGACCAGGAGATGATAGTAGAGCGAAGGGGGGAGAGGGCATGGATGAGGGCAACGGAGTTATTGTGGAGAAAATGACATACGTGCCTAATGCCGAGGGTGAGGGTATAGAAGGAGAAGGAGAGGACGAGGGGGTAGCAACGAGGAAGTGGTAAATGAGACAGAGGGCAATGGTCGCTCAATGCCTTGGATGAGGGGAGAGGGGGAGGGGTCCGCCACTACCGACGCTAGTGGTGCTGTCGTCTGTCGTTGATATCGTCCACCACCAAACTTAAAATTATTTTCTTACCATTTATTTTCATGTTTCATCGATAAAAACTAATGTTGTTAGGGTAAATAGACATAATCATTTCACTTTCATAGTTACAAAGATGTCAGTATAATTTTTTAAAGTATATGGATCAGAATACTAGAAGCAATTAACTACATAGAGTAATCTATAGTTACCCCCAAAAAATATACATAATAAATCTACTCATAAAATATGCTAAATTATAGTCATAATAATAATCATAAATGCGTGAGAAATCTTACCTCTTATAAATATAATACAAATATAGGGAGAACAAAAACCTCTCATCCATATATACCTTTGTGTATATAAATAAAAATAAAAGAGGATTTGAGAATCATCTTTATATAAAAAATAGTACACGAAACTCGATATACTATTAGTCTATGATGTGTAGGACATTCAACTCTCAATCATCATACAAGAGGAGGTAAAGATTTTAGGTATCGGAGAACGTCCAATCAAAATTAATTTCAATTCAAACATGATCGTTAGAAAAAAAAAATTTTGTACACCATGGATTTTTTTTTAGTATATTCAGATGTCTTATACAAAATATTGTATGAAAGTTGCATGTTCTTTGAAACTTCTACCTTTTACCATTTTGCTAATGAGTGTTTACTATTAAAACACGACTATATAAAGGGATTTTCTTGTATCCAAAGATTTTGATTAGTCAATGTAAGTCGAATCAATTTGACTCGAGTTAGTCTCGCTTGGTCCAAAGCTCAACTAGACTAGCTTGGACAAGTTGAACCCAATGCTTGACTAGGCTAAGTTAGGCTTAAGCTCTTGCCCTTATTATATATCAAAGTCTTTAGTATCAAAATACAAACTCTTTTTCGTAATTTAAGTATACATAAGACCCTTTTTTTTTTTGTACTTATAGTACTCTACATAATTCATTTTTTCCATTTATATACGATGTATTAATCTAAATAAAAATAAATATCAAAGATGCTTGACGCATCCCAAAGTATTCTATTTGTATATGATGCATCCACTAATTATCTAAAAAAATCATATGAAACATCATATGCATTCCAAAGTGCCCAATTTGCTTGTGATGTGTCCATTTTGGATAAAAAAAAATATTCATTTGTGTATGATGCATTCTCCCAAAATAAAAACAAAGCATATAAGTCCTAAACGATTGTCAAAGCATATCTTTTGCTCATTATGTGTTCGCCCATGATAAAAAAAAACAAATGATGCGGTTGATGCATTCCATTTTCATGCAATATATCCGAAAACATTTGAAATGACTTTTACATCCCTTTCACATGCAATAATATAAATCATTTAACACATCCCAAAGCATCCCCTTTATGTATGATGCATCCCCTAGTGGATAAAAACAACTAACACACCCAATGCATGCTAGAACATCCTTTTGCGTATAATGAATTCTTCTAGAACAAAAAAAATTAAAAAGATATAAACAAAACTCTAGTTATTCGACAAAAAATACGATACAAGATACGTGTATCTTCTATCCTCAAACCAACGTAGGATACAAGATAAATATAGTTTTTTATGGCCTATTCTCCAAGTTTCGAATACTCAATGACCTCTCCTCTTTGAAACGTAATTTTATCATTCTCTAGTTTTATTTGGAATATTCAAGCAACTTGTTATCTTTAAGACGATACCTGTATGGTATCTTGCGACAATATCTCGTAACACTCGTATGTCCTACGCTAATTGATGTCCTACGGTTCATGCAATGCGGAGGAACACGTAAACCAACAAAACCACATTCACAAGTCGAGGGAAAAGCTAATCGATGTCCTTGCTGTTCTATCGAAGTCTGTGAATCATTAAACAAAACTTTTCCTACTTGGATTCCACTGACATTAATGTTGCACCAGCTCAGGTATAAGCTTGAGCAGGAACGAGAGCTCGCGCTGCGAGAAGTTGGGTCTCGCTCTCACCTTCACCTGTCTCGCTTCTACTACTGCATCAGACAAGCCTTCGCGTTCTTCCGCAACCGAGGTTGGTGTGATGAAATCTGAAACAGCCTCCGTTATCTCCTCGACGAGATCCACGATTACACCGTCGATGCCCATCAGATGCTGCATGTAGACGGCTTCAGGAACATTGCTGCAAATGTAAAATCGAGGAAACCGAGTTCAGAACAAGCAAATGCAACCGAGATCGGAATGGTTTAGACTGCATGCATCGCCGGGCATACTTGAGGTGGCCATAAGTCAGGAGGGAAAGGTTGGATGCTTTGATGCTTGACACCGCTGATGGGTTTCTGAACACTCCTTTGACGTCGGAAACGATGCCTTGCAGGCCACTTGCCAGGCACAGCTTGATGGCCTCGTCCAGTGAGTTTCTTCTCACATCATCAGATGTTTCGGTGCCTCCAGTGGTAAGGAAGAAGACCTGGTTCCATGTCACCGTTAAACAGCTCGTCTGCTTAACTCTTCAATTATCGAATGCAACAAAATGATCTACTTACAGGGTAGGCAGTCTGGAGTTTCCTCAACAGCTGTGCCGCGTCAGGTTGAAAGGTGGAGAAGATGATGGGTCTACCGTTTGCATGTTCGTAAACGACCTAACGAAGACAAGATAAGTCGCGAACATTCGACAGGGCCAACCGCTTAAACTTTCTTCGGAGGGAGAGGATACCTTCAAGACCGCCTCAAGAGCATGGGTAAGATCTCGAGCGAGATACACCGCGTGGTCAATGAATTTGAGCTCGATGTTGAAGCCCAGACGCGAGTCGATCTTCTCGAATGCCTCTTGCAGCGTGCAGAGGGAGTCGTCGTCGTCCACGTTCCACTTCAACACTCTCCCGTCGTCGGTTTTTCTGAGCAATGATTTGCCAACCTGGGAGAACAGCAGCACGCTCCTTCATGCATGGAGAATCTCATGCAACATGTCACGCGCTGCAATCTTGGTTCGAACAAGTATACCTTGCCGGGCTCTCGTTGAGGACCATAGGAAAGGAATTCTTCCAAGTAAAGATCGGTGACGTGCTTCTCCAAGATTTTGCCCTGCAGGCGCTCCGAAGCCAAATGATAGCACAGTAAATGCATTGACTAAGACAAACAGAAATAAATATGGATGAAGGGGAAGAAAAAACGCACAGAATCTTCAGTGAGGATGATATCGTCGTGGAAGATGATGGGGCAGTCATCCTTGGTCACCTACAAAAATGACACTTGATGGTTGTCTTCTAAAGTTCTTCCTCAGCTAAACTTTCTTTTTATTGAAGAAAAGCAAGAGAGAGTAAAACAAAAAACAAAAAGATCAGTACCCAAAATTTACATGCTAAGATCGATCTATAACATGGACGAAGACATAAAACTGCCAACGCCGTCAACTCCAAACCAAAACCTACTTGATTGGGTTGCAGCCATGGGAACCATGGAGTTTGAAGGGGAAAAAAAGATCGGACCGGAGAAAAGAAAACCGGTCGCGTTTCGAACCGGGGGGGAAAACGAAAGAGGTAGCCGATCAGATCACGCGAATCCAAGCGTCGTTAAAGATTGGCCCCAGCGATTCAGGAGATAGATAGAGAGAGAGAGATGGTAATCAATTGTACCTGGACGTCGAACTCGACGAAGTCGATGGGGAAGAGGGCGGCGCGGTTGAAGGAGAGGAGGGAATTCTCCTTCACGGCCCTCATCCGCAGGTCCGCTGATTCCAGCGCGTTCATCCCCTTCCCTCGGTGCCCCAGCACCACGAACCCCCGCGCCGCCTCCCTGGGAAGGAGGGCGGCCGCGGATGGAGTCTCCGGGACCTGGTGGAGGCTGGGGACCTCCATCACGTGCACGACTTTGAGAGCCATTGTTAAGCCGGCCGGACCGCTCTCTCAAACTCCCTAAAGATTCGTGAAATATGGGACGGAAGGCTCAACTGGTCGTGAGAGACGGAAGCGCTGTTTTAAAGGCGGACAGGGAAGAGATGGCGGATTGCAAGTAACGGCGGCGTCAGTTGTGGTCGCTTACTTGTCAACGTTACCTTTCCTATTATTGGCTTGGAGGCGTGGCCCGGTCGTGGGTCACGTGGTCCTCCAGCCATGGAGAGTCTTAATAGTTGGGAATCTGATCTGTTCCCGATCTGATCCATTGACGCGTGCATTTCGTGGATGTGGAAGCCGCCTGACCCGACGCCACGTCACGCCACCATGTACGTTTCCGTCTCGCACGAAACAAGGTCCGCGGGCCGTGGGGGAATGAGGTGGCGCCTGCGTGTCGAGTTTTTGACTCTGACAAAGTTGACCCAGGTAATCAACACGTCTCCCAAAGCTTTATTTGCAGGTCCACCACATCAACAACATTTATTGAGGTCTTTTGGGTGCACAAAGCTGGCTCGGTCGAGAGCTTAAGTGGACGACGCATCATCTGACGACGTAGTTGGTGGCATGATGTTGTCCGAGACAAAGAGAGTGAGTGAGTGGTCACACAGTCGGTGCCATGGCCCTTGCCAACGTGGGAGAGGAGAGGCGAGGCTCATCTGCGTTGTGGACGACAGCAAGGATTCAGCTTTGGGAGGAGGTGGCGACTATTCCAAATAATTGTGGCACTTAACGCGACATGCGCAGTTGTTTTCATCCTCGTCATGATTGACGCAGTGCCGTGGACGTGGCAGCCACATCTTGTTTTGTCTTTTTTATATGAGTTGGGGTTTGAATTGAACAACCTGGCATTATTAGGGTTTAATAGAGATTCAATTGAACAACTCGTTATATATTTATTAAGATGTACCTATCTAAATGTTATATTCTTAATATTTATCCATTATTAAGATGTACCTATCTAAATGTTGTATTCTTTATCTATTATTAAGACACACGTATCCAAAGGTCACATCCGCTCTCATTGATAAATATAATAATTCATATCAGATTTGTCTTCCTCATTGGCCGATTGGATTTAAGTCATTTATCTGATCATCATTAAATATCATTAATCTAAAAGTCATTTTGATAATGTTAATTCTAATATTCTCTTACTTTTATGTCAAATTTATCGGTTAACTTAATCAATAAAGACCCTGATAGATTATCCTAAAGTCATGATCTCATATCTCACTTTCACCGCTTATCCTTTCAGAAAAAAAGATTATTATACCAAATCTTTCATATAATTATTAAACTTATATATTATTATCAAGTAAATAACTAAAATGAGTTATGACAATTATAAATTATCAATTTGACATATTTCCTTTCATATATCATAACATTAGTTTTGTAATTAATATGACTCATAATGATAGTTTTACTATGGTTAGATAGTATTTTTTAATTATGTCAACTTTCATCTACTTCAATCATGTAAATAATATAGAAATTGTGGTAAATCAGAAACACAAAAGTGAGCTCAAAGTGTGAAATGATCCTTTATAAATATAACATGATATAATTTAGATTTCAAATAACTCACATCTAATATAAGGTAAATTTTCATTTACGTGTTAATAGTCGTATCCGAGTAATTAAATCTGTACGCGTAGTTATATATAGATTCTCTTATATATTGCAAAGCCCTTATATATTTTTTTCAAAATTATATATATATATATATATATATATATATATCGATATATTTTTTTTATAAAACTATAAAAGGATCGTTCAATAATTACATGACATCGATGCAGATGTAAAACAGTCATTACCTCTTATTGATACTCTTCTCATCCACAATAATCATCCGTGACATCCAAACTTATTTAAAATATAAAAAATTAAGATATTAAAAATAATTAAATATGTAATTAGTTCAAAATATATTTTCCATTGGATGAAACTAAAAGATGCCATTATTGTCTCGAGAAAGAAGGTGTCGATATCGATGCTATTCTCATCCTTTTTCATCGTGATATAAGGGAAGGGATAGTAAGTCAGCGTTGGAGCAGGAGCAGTGGACGCGGGCGCTCCGAGAGTATACGAGGTCTGGAAGGGAAGATTAAGTCAACGTTCATCTGTTTCGTCGAAGTTTGACCGTCGCTTCTCGAGATTGTTGTTTGGGGCGTAATTAGGGTTTTCTCGTGATTCTTGCGTAGGAGAAAATAGATAGCTTGACCAAGGCTGCATCTATCTTCTATGTTTAATATCTAAAGTTTCTCTCTTTTCTTTTTCGATTTTATATATTTGAAGAAGATATTGGCGGTTGGGTCACCTGCTCGCTCCTGTATTCTGTCCTGACAAAAGAGAGAAATTGGTACGGGATTTGTGGTCTCCTCTAAAGGCAATCAGTATTTCGTCTGCAAACATAAGAGATAAGTTGGAATGTGAATTTGGAGTGTCATCTAATTTCTAGTTCTACACCTTGTGTGTGAAATTTAAGTTTCTCAATTTTTGACTTCGTTTGATTGCCATCTAAAATGAAAATCCAAATAGAAACCCCTGTTGTGTATGATTCTGTCAGTAATTTAATTCAGTACCAAGTTCCTTGTTCGTCACTGAAAAGGAATTTTTGTTGTGGTGCTTAGTTTTATGATGCTGTCTTATTAATGCGTTAGTTTTTGTATAGTTAAAAAGGAGGGAGGAAACAATTTGCAGAACAGTTCAACTCATTGTTCAGCATTGCATTTCTGTAACATGGTATTCATTATTGGGATGCTTAATTTCTGTGAACGGATTGGTCGTTCTTCTGCAGTGCATTTCCATTAGAACAACAATAATGTGATAACTAGGATGCTTAATTTCTGTGAGGTCTACTCTGATATATACTAGACGGTGATTTACAACAACAAACAAATACTACAATTGTTCATACTACTCACTTTGTTATTTCATGTTACTTTCAAAGAAAAACCAAATCAAGAGCACCTTATGACCTACTAAAGGCTTCGTATATCCATTTGGTTTCCTGTTTTGAGTCTCTTGAATAATTGCAGCATCTGAGAAGAAACCAATCTGTATTTTTGGTGTATTTACCATGATAGCCTGATACAATATGAACAGAGCTGACCCTATTTTTCCATTGGAGAACTTTTGAGTAGATTGAAGATGTCATCGGTGTTTCTACGGTCTAAAATAGAAACTTAAAGTTAACTCTTGGGATTCTTTGTATTCGTCCGCAAGCTTTTGTCAATATTTATTGTTGTTTTTCTTTTAGTTTTTTGTGCATCAACTTGCTTTCCTACTTGCTTTAGTCTAGTAATCATTTTATCGAGAACCTCAAATCCATGACCTTATCTTTCGCGCATTTAGTTATACCATAGCTAGGGTTTTCACGTACTGGTTCTACTTGTACCATTAGGTCCTGTATATTATCTTATATGACTTGGTTTAATTCCTTTCAAGCTCATCCTATATTTTGCTTGGATTTACAGTGCCATAGTAGGTACACCAGTAAATCCTTTATTCTCATCGGTTTTCCTTTCGTTTAGTCTTCTGTTACCTCATTTGCCTTTTCATTATCATTTTATAATGCCTAGACCTATTATTAGTTTCTACTTTCTAAATCTGGGTTTTGTATCGAATGCAAAGGAAATATTTTGAAAGAGCAACTGCATTTTCCCTTTCTATATTTTACTAGAAAGGATTCCTTTTATGATACTTATAGGTGCCATTGATATGGCTATGGCAGCATGCCACGAAAGTGTAAAGAATGAAAATAAAGGGTGCAAGGTCTCGGGAGGTCTAGATTGGTGGTGAATGAAAGAAGGAAAAGGAGTGAGAAAAAGAATGAATAGAAGGAAAAAGAAAAAAAGTGACAGAAGAATAAGAGTGGTGAGAGTCTTACCTGTCTTTCTAAATTAAGATTGGTGGTGCCAAAGGATCACTGACAATTAGGAAAGCTTATTTGCCTATAAAGCCGAAAAAGGGGTAATGCTAACACTAACCACCATTGAGAAATTGAACCAAGATGTATCATGGTTATTCAGGTCAATACTCTTATGGAGGCCAAACCCCAAGAGAGTGTAGCCTAACACTGCCTAGCTTACCCAATTAACCTCATATATAGTGGGAGTAAATGATTTTTTTCTGAAGTTTTGAGCTAAGCCTAGTACCAAAACCAAGTTATTGTCCCAAGCTTGGTCCTATATATTCTTCGACCTGTGTGCAAGTCTTTGTGGGTTGTTATATTGTTATTGTATAAGTACATTTTGCGTGTAATGAAATGTTGTCGATAAATTTGAATTGATATATCGTGTAAACGTTTAAAAGACCTCTCATGTTTGGGATTTTAGAATGTTAAGTTTAGTTTTCTGACGATATGAACTTGTGGTAAATAGTTGGTTTTGCGATTGCATAGATTCTCACACTGATGAATTTATAAGTGTGGTTAATGTTTTGTTAAGTTGGTTTTGAGTTTCTTGAATTATCGAGTGATGTGATGTATGATTATAAACTGCACAGATTATATATATATGAATAATATTTGAATACTTTTCAGTGCCCTCAAATGTTGGTTTGGATCCTGGATTGATGTTGGTCCTATATATATTTTTACTTGTGCAAGCCCTTGTTATTTGCATATATGTATCCAAATAGAAGGAATTATGTTTCTATGATTTTGTTTGATAATATTTTGGTTAGACAACTGATAAAAACTTTAGACATTGTTATGAACGAAGACCTAATCCGTACAACAACAGAGGAGAGCTAACCCGTACAACAGAGGATCGCATATTGGTGGAGAATTTCAAATAGATTTTCTTTATGAGCATTCCTCCCTCGAGGAACAAGATCCACGCAAGGGAACTACAAGAACAAAGATTTCAACCAAGTTCTGGAAGTGGAGGTTTCATGAGTCCAAACAAAGCAGTGGCGATGGGTAGGAAGCTTGTGACTTGGGATGAATTAAAAGCAGTCACACAGATTCGTGATCTTGAAGGTCTACGCAATGCAAAGATGGAGGACTGCATGGATGATGACCTTGGTGAAGCTTCACCAGATATAACTAGGGG